CGAAGATCTGCTACACCTGACCGAACAAAAGAGGGTACAAAATGAAATGAAGTCCAGAAAGTGAGGTTAAATCGGTCACATACTCCGAAAAAATAGTTCCAGTATTTGCCCTAGACTGCCCTAGAGTGGAATCCCCAAGGGCAAAGAAAAAGAGGTCGCCCAGTACAAACTTGGAGAAGATCCATCATGGACGAGATAAGAGGCCAACGAAAGTCTTGAAATGAGGTGAAGGTCTCTATGTTCCACTTAGAAGTTCAAGAACCTTATGTATTAACACTTAATAACATGTTCTAAATGAGCTCCTCTTCTCTCAGTCAAATGACAGACATCATTCCGATATTCCAGATTTCTCGTAATGTTATGGAATAAAGATTTTCTCAAGTCCGCGTAGAAGGCTCTAACGGCATCCTTTAACTAATTGATTGTTTAAAAACGGCAGCTTTAGCCATGCCCCAAATGTATGCGTCTGGAGATGTTAAGTTTTTAGAATGTGCAGGATATGGGAAGTCAGTAAGTCGTGAAATGAATTTGTTTGGAAAATGTCCCTGAAGAAATTGACTAACTACGACAGCAGTATGACAAGTTGCCCCATACTGCTGGAAAAATTGGTTTTGAAATGCCAAATTACGTGCACGACAAAATTGACGTAGATCAGGGATAAAGCGTGTTAAAATTTGTATGTACCTCTGTTGATTAAGTGTAACTTGCCTACCATTTTCTTCGATAAAGTATGGACCAATGATTCCTTGTCCCGAAACTGGACACCAGACATTCACTTTTCCGATATGTAAAGGAACTTCATCTGGTCTTTCAAAGCCCAGAAATTGATTTGTGCGACGATTTACCTGGCCTGACAAATGAAAATGTGCTTCGTCTAAAAACCATACATTTTTCAAAAATTCAGGATTTTCATACTGTAATGCAATAATTCTGACACAATATTCCACTCTACTGTGATAATTCCTGGGATGTAATTGTTGATGTACCTGAATCATATACGAAAATGCACCTAACTCCTTCAGGATTCTTTGCTGGAAGTTCGTTTTAAGCCAAGATGCAATGCTTTTCTTTTCTGGCTGGCTTTCGAATTTTCCAACATTCGCTCAAAAATACGTTCATGGTTATCGTTGTTGTTAACTGGGACGCCTTGAGTTTCCTTTTCGTTGGCACAATACATTACCCGTATTTCTAAACTTTTTAACAACCTTCAAAATTACAGCATTACTTGCAGAATGTTTATTAAACCGTTATGTGAATTGATCACACGCGTATTGCAGACTTGCACTATTTTGTCGGCCGATTCCGTATGAGCGAAAATAATGTTCCACGGGAAACATTTTCTCCCCTGTACTGAACACCATTTTTAACAATTAGGCCTTAATAATTAATTGTTTAAGGATTACTTGACAGGTCTATACTAATTAATTTGAATATGACAGCGCGCACAAAGAGACATCTATGTTTCAGTTTCAGTACTTATTATTTTGCAATACTGTATTTGCCCCCACGGTTCGTGTGATTTGCACCAATGTGAAAGATCATCTGCAATTCAAAAACTTCCTTGAGGAATTATAGTCCAGTCGTCAGAGACTAAAATGCCACTGAACCTCTAAAAATCATATGAACTAGCTGAATTTTGCTGAGAATGTAAATCTTGGGACAATAAAAGATTTAAAAAGGGTTGTCACTCCTACTCCGGTCTTTCCCTTAAAATCACCCCTCGTAAGGGGGAAAACGGAAAAAATCGATTTACCAAGAATCTGTACATCGTAGAAAAAAATGTTTTAAACAAGAAAGGCAGCTGAGATCATTTTAAACAAAAATGCTTATTTGCACTTTTTGTGTAGAATGAACTGTTCTGTCAGAAACAACGCTCGAAGCATCCAGCGATTTTGAAAGTCAGGTACGCGCGCGAAATCAGTTTTTTACATAAACTTTGTATCAACTCGACTGTGAAAATTCTATATATTTTGATCAGAGCGTCCTATCGACTAAAATCAAAATGCATTTTAAAGGTGAAGATTGCAGGTATGCAATTTTTGTGTTTTAACGCAATTAAAGTCAGTTTCTATAAAACTGTTGCGCGATTTTTGAATTTAAACTTTCGCATTAAAAACGATCTAAAACATTTAAAACTGCTTCTTTTCGATTGCAGATATACGCTTTTTGAAACTACACAACTTAAACTCCAAATTTCACCTAATATCGTCTTCGTGGAGACATTTTTCGTGACGTGAGATTGTTTGTAATGTGAAAGTTTATATTCAGTTTTTTTTGGCATATTTCAAATGACAATTTGTTGCCAAAACTCATAATCGAAATTTCATGCTATAGATTTTGAAAATTAGGCTCTAACAATGGAAATTACACAACAAAATAGCAAAAATCACGCAACACGCAACACCTTCATAGAAACGTTTGTGACAAAATACAAAAATTGCATACGAAACCTGCAGTCTTCACTTTTAATTTTTGTCGATATGAGACTTTAATCCAAAGATATCGAATTTTTACTGTCGCGTTGATCCAAATTTAATTAAAAAAATTGATTTTGCGTGCATAATGACATTTAAAATCGCCGGTCGCTTCAAGGGTTGTTTTTGAAAGAACGGTTATTCTACAAATTTCACAGGTACATTTCTTATTTGAAACATTTTTATATACGACCCCCCTCCCTATGAGGAGAGTTTTGGGGGGAGGGGCCCGGAGGTAGGAGTCCTCAAGTTTCTGAGGACTGGAATAAAGGACGAAGAACTTCCAAATGATCAATTTCTTTTCCATCGTTAAAAGGATATTTAGCTACAACGTATTAAATTGATTTGTAGATTTGCTTGATCCGACAACTGCATTTAATTCATATTTAGAATTAAACGACGCCGACGACGAGTAGTTACAAGACTTATACCTCAGGGAAATAAGCAAAAAAGAGACCCTGTTCGGCACTGTGACTAATCCAGATATCTGACAATTTTTTTTAGTTATTATAGGCTTATATAAAACCTATATGTTTTCCGCATAAATTTCGGCGTCTTTTTTTAATTATTAACAATTTAGTGTAAAAAAAGCCAGTTTTTCAATTTTTTGCTTACCATTAAAAAAATATTTAAGGTGAAATTACGAAACTTTATCTTTTAAAACATAAAAAATCTGCGAAATAGAGATTTTTAAAAGTTGTAAAATTAATTTGTTGCTTCAAAAACTGCAAAATAAGGCAAAAACGTTATTTGTTTATAATTACTGCAAAAATGAACCTAGGCATTTGTTATTCCGCCCAAAGTTGGATATTGTGGTCTTCAATAATCCCTCAAAATTCAGATCGATCCAATAATTTAATCTAATAGTTTAAAAGTTATTCTATTTGTATATATATATATATATATATATATATATATATATATATATATATATATATATATAATATTGTACCTCTACTTCTTCTGCTCCATTTTCATTACATTTGATTGCTTCAAATTCTTCCAAGTCCACCTTTTTCGGTGCAATCCAGGTATTTCTATTTTTCATAATCTCGAGGCTTTTCGTTTATGTCAATATTTTCCGATCTTATATCATTTTCCTTTTTCTGCACCTTTACTAGGTTCACGCTTTCTTGACTTTTGTTGTCTTCGTTATCATCCAAAAATGTTCCTCCTTGCGTATTTGAACATATTTTTCAGAAAAATATATATTAGCATTTTTGTCCTCCAATTCGTCAGCTCCCACAACCATATCATATTTCATATTGTAAATCACAACAAAATGAATAAAATAGTAATTATTTTCAAATTTAACTTTGACTCCTATACCCTGATTAATAACCGTTAATTTCTTATTATTCGCGCCCACAAGGGTAACCTCGGAATTTTATATATAAACTGATTTAAATTTAATTCATCTATTAAACGTTTATTTACTAACGAAATTTCTGATCCCGTATCAATGAGTATCTTCGAATTTACGTCTCTTCTTTGCGGTCTTTTGTTTCCAAAACCATTTCGGTCATCTCTGTTGTTATGGTGTTGTCCGCTCCTATTATTGTTGTGATAATTTTCCGTGTTTCCTCCATTTGCTACTGGTCGGTTTTGATTTTACATGTTAGCATTTCTATTTTGTCTATGCTATTCATTATTATCCCTGAATCTATTCTGTCGAAAATTATTATTAAATTGATCTTGTGATCTATTGACGTGATTGTTATTTTGGAATATATTCGTATGTGGTGTTGTTCGATTCCGGTTGTGAGTTCTCCGCTCTTTTCTCTCTTTTCTAAGTGCTTCCCGCACTCGTAAAAATTGGCATAGGCTATCTATATCATGGTAGTTTTGTAGCGTCACATGATCTTCCATGGTCTCATCAAAAGGACGCGCTATCAAATCCACCAACTGTTCTTGCGAATAGTTATATTCTAAATGTTGTGCATTGTTATAAATCTGTAGAGTGTATCTTTCTTCGGATAAACCTTTCCTTTCATTGAATTTTCCGTTTTGTAGTTCATTGTTAATTTCCATCTGTTTTGTTTTTCCCCAAAAATATTTCAAAAATTTCGTCTCAAAATCCTTCCATGACACTAATGTGTTTTCCTTGCTTTCGAACCACAGCGATGCTCCATCCATTAAACAACTCATTATTGTTTCTTTTGCAATCTTCAAAGTTTCCGGTGTGTTGCAATTTATTTTTATGATAACTTCTCGATTTTCCCGAACAGAAGCTCTTTTTCCTATTTCTTCTACTGTCCTTTGGATTTCCTTTTTTGTTTCGACCTTATCTTCTTGTAAAGCTCTCTCCAGTTTCTATTCCACCTTCTCTATTCCCTCTTGTATCTCTTTGCGTGTTTTCTCTTTCACAGTTTCTATTTGTTCATTTAAAATTTCTATTTCCTTCCTCTGACTCTCTAGTTTTATATCTGTTTCTTCCGCTATTCTATCAAGTTCCTTTTGTATTTGTTGTAGATAACCTTTCATTGCGTATTCATATTTCTCCTAATTTGTTTTCCATATGACTTATCATTTTTTTTTATTTTCTTCTCTAATTTTATCTTGTGCGTTCATCATCATCATTAATTTTTCTAACATTCCTGTTTCTTGTTTCTTCTCAACTACGGTATCATTTTGTTCATTATCAGACACATCTTTCAAAATTACTTCTTCCTCTTCCTTATCCTCTTTCCGTTTCTGCATTTTACTTTGTTGTCTTGTGACCAACATTTTTTTAACAAATTTTACCAGTATTCACAAAGCAAACCTTTCATTTCGATCAAAGTTTCCCAAATTTTATCATATATGCTAAATCCCTTCAAATAAAGATGTCCTTTAGAATGATTGTAAATTCAAAGGTACCAATTTAAAATTTTAGAGAAAAAGAAGAATATTCAATCATATAACATATATGCTTCTATTCCTGTTCTATCTTACACTATTTACTAGGTATTTCTTCACAGCCCTTTACGTTGGGAGATAGTTAATATGATATTGTAATTTTGAAATATGATAAAACAATAAATAAAATAATTATGATCCAATTAGCTAATTAAAACAAAAAAAAATATTTAATGAATTTTATTACGAATCAAAATTCAAATGACAGACAAGGGACCATTATTTTCGATTTGCCTAATAATTCCCCTCACAAGTTGCATCATCCTTTGGACGACCTCGGCGTCAATTTCTCTAATTTTTGTATATATGCGGCGTCTTAACTGTTACTGATTTTGTGCTTCCCATCCGTTATTATAGACTTTCCGACTTAATATTACACAGAACTCTTCAATTGGATGAGCCTGGGGTAGGTTGGGGGGATTGTCTGCTTTCGGTACAAAGGTAATGTTGTTAGTTTCGTACCAGTCCCTTGTGATCCTCGCGTAATGACATGAAGCAAGATCTGGCCAAAAGACTATTTGATCATTTGCATGATGTGTGTTCACAAACTGAAGCAATTTAGAGACATATTTAAATATAAATATTTGTGTTTAAGGCTTTGCCTCGAACAACACCAATGTAGGGCTGTGAGATAAAGCCAGCCTCAGAAATTGCACACCATACCAAAATTTTGTCCTCAAACTTTTTCTTACTTTTGAATTTTATTTCAACGGGTACATTTTCGTAATTGTTCGTGTAAAACCCATCTTTACCCTTCATCTCAGAGTTGGACAAAGTAAAATATTTTTTATCGTCCATCTCTCTAATTGATCCTCTGTGTATTTTGGAGATTTCCTTCTTTTCCGGTAGATAATATTGTTACTCGATAGGGTCCTGTATACTGTAGTCTTTCCAACATGAAATCTTCTGGCCAGTTTTCGCTGTGAGACCCCAATTTTGTTCTTAGCTGCTTCAATCAGTCTTGTCTCTCTTATATGGTTCAAAATCCGCGGTCGGCCACTTTTACGCAAGTTAATACATGGTATCCCTTCTTCATATTCTCTGATTGTGCGATAAATTGTCGATTTGCTTATGTTTTGATCTCAATAAATATTAACAATATCTCGTTTCGACATTCGCCCAACGATATTATAAACACCTCGACGAATATCAATTTTATAAGACATTTTGCAGAGCACAAACCAAAATATTCTGCTTTGTTTATTAAAGGTCAATAACTGGTGACATTTCAATTTCATGGCCTTCTTTGTTAAATGCATTTTGCTTCTCAATCAGACCAGGTGAAATTTTTCCCAAAATTTTAGGACCATACGTTATTGTAATTTTGAAATATGATAAAAACAATAATTAAATTAATTATGATCCAATTAGCTAATTAAAACAAAAAAAAAATTATTTAATGTATTTTATTACGAATATGAAAATAAATTTTATTAACGACGCCAATTTCATAATTTATATGTTTTCTTATCTCAGGGTTCCTATTAGAGTTCAAAAATACCTTTATATTCAATAGTGTTTAATAAGAAGAGGAGTAAAAGGAATAAATAAAAAAAAAACTCAAATATGTGTAATACAGTTAAAATATATTAGAAAAATAAACCTTTTAAAACTGTTTATACAAATAATGAAACCCCTTAGAAATAAATGTTTCCCAAATCATATAGCTTTCACAATATAGAATTAAAATAGGAAAATTAGTCTAATCTATTGTATCTTCTCAATAAATTTTTCTCTGCAATGTTTGATAACTTCTCCTAGGTCCTGTTGTTTCCCGCCGATACACATATACTCGATTTTTTAGATATTGATTTCAAGTCCACATTTTTTATACTCCTCGATTCATTTTCAATACCTCAATATCGTCATAATCTTGTGCTATCGCTAGTTGATCATCTGCAAATGACAAAGTGTAGGTATATGCTATTGTTGTTAATGAGCATTCCCATATTTCTACATTTGCGCTTCCACAGTTTCTAGATAAATTTTAAATAATGTAGAGGAGGGACAGCAGCCCTGATTAAGGCCTTTATTCATTTGGAATCTATTTACAGATTGTTTCCAACCTTTATCTTTGAGTTAGTATTTGCGTACAGTTCCTTCGTCGCATTTATTAAATTCATGCTTACGTTTGTTTTCTCTAACGCTTCCCATAAAATATAATGTTGTACGATATTATAAGCTTTTCGTAGGTCTACATACAATAAATGTACTTCTTGATTAACGCTATTTTCTTTTCAATAATCTGTGTAATGCAAAACAAATGGTCAACAGTAGATCTACCTGCCCTAAATCCTGCTTGTTCCTCAGCCTTTAAGTCTTTATATTCGCTTTCTATTGTTTTTAATTACTTTCCCGTATCTACTGACCTAGTTTGTCACGACAATGCCTCTGTATATGTCACATTCATCCCTTCTGCCTTTTTTGTGTATAGTGGATATGAATGATGTCTTCCACTCCTCTGGGGTTGTCCTTCCATTAATGCAGTTTTGGTTTTGGAACAGTTTGGCTAAACTTGTATATAGTTTGGTTGTACAACGCAAAACCCTTTTGTAAAATTACGGTTATTTTTGATTTTTAAACATTTAGAATAACTTTTAAACTAAGTATCGCTCGAAGATAAAATCTTTTTTTATATTCCAAAGCTGACATTTTTACACGAGTTTTAAAAAAAAAGTTGTTCTACGATAATTTGGGGCAAAGTTAGTTTTTTTATTCACAGCTAATTTGTTTATAACAATTAAGGAACGCAATTTTCGGCATTTGAGAGAAAAGGATTTGTAATTTTTGTACAAAAAGTTGTAAACATTGAACTATGACAGCATCATCTGTGAATTGTCAAAAATATGGTTCAAATTAAGACTAATAGTGGCGAGTGGAGGGCAATCTATGCGTTCAGAAAATGAAAACGCATCTTCAAACTACTACAATTGTTTATATCTCCCGATCTACTCAACGGATTTTAATCTTTCTTTTTTAATGTACTATTTGCGTACATTACAAATATATAATTTGTTTATAAATTCAATAACTAATAAACAGTGTAATTTGTTTAAACAATTTATGAAAAAAAATCCCCAAAAAATCGATGTTGTTTGTAATACTATCATTGTTGAAATGAACACAAAATGGTTTATTTTTTATTTGCCTTATTCAGAACACCCGGCCTTAATAAGGCCAATTTGCAAAAAAGTAAAATTAAAAACAATTAATAGATAATTATTATAATATATCAGTAAAAACGAAAGTAGTATAGGTTATTGGTAACTTAACTGACATTTAAAAAAAATTATTTAAAAATTCCTTTATAAATAGGCGAGCGGTTTACCCCTCAAAAGACGCTTAGAAACAGAATATACCGACTAAAATTCTTTTTGCATTTCTAATGCACCAAATCTTTTTTATTCGATTTTATATATTTTTCCAAGATAAAATGTATTTTTTTTAAATTTTTACAAGTGGGCCGGCGATTGTTATTAACAAATAACTTATTCAAAAAAGCAATTTCACCGAATTGTTTCAGAATCAATTTTTTTAGGTGTATCTCGTCAAAATAAATAGTTTTTCTTTCTTGATAATTTTTCGAAAAAATGCTTCCTTTTTAAGTTATTTGCATTTTTTTGTTGAAAAAATGCCTTAATTAGTGATTTTTGGGATTTTTTTTTCTAAAAAACTACTAAATGAATTGAAATTCTACAAATAGCTTTATAATCTTTAAACCGTCAAGTACAAGTTAGATTATTTTGACAAGGATAATTTTTTTCTATCTTGCTAAAAACGTGGACCCAAATATTTCGAATAGGCCTTTCGAGCAGTCTACCACTAAGTGTGTACAGCGGTTGCGGCGATACAGGCGTGCTGCGCGTAGAAATATTTGTTTAAATTAAAAAAAATAATTCAATACAAATATTACGTACAATTTATTAAAAAAAAAAGATATTTCTAATTATTTTTATATAGACATATAATTAAAACAATTATTGAATGTTTTATTACAGTGAAATACATTAAGCAATATATAATTAATTTAATCAATTAATCAATTATCAGATATTTTTCATATAATATATTACATTATTAAAAAAGTCGAAAAGATTCGAGAGCATACAGCACCTCAACCGCTGTATAGCGGGATACTCTCGAAAGGCATATTCGAAATATTTGGGTCCACGTTTTTAGCGAGATAGAAACCATTTATCCTTGTCAAAATATTCTAACTTGTACTCGACGGTTTAAAGATTATAAAGCTATTTGTAAAATTGCAATTCATTTAGTAGTTTTTTTAGAAAAAAAATCCCAAAAATCACTAATTAAGGCATTTTTTCAACAAAAAAATGCAAATAACTCGAAAAGGAAGCATTTTTCTAAAAATTATTAAGAAAGAAAAAGTGTTTTTTTTAATGAGATACACCTAAAAAAAATGATTCCGAAACAATTCGGTGAAATTGCCTTTTTGTATAAGTTATTTGTTAATAACAATTGCCGGCCCACTTGTAAAAATAAAAAAAAAATACATTTCATCTTGGAAAAATATATAGAATCGAATAAAAAAGGTTTGGTGCATTAGAAATGCAAAAAGAATTTTAGTCGGTTGATGCTCTGCTTATAGGGGTAAACCGCTCGCCTAAAAAGGTATATATTAAAACAACCTATCGGGCTACATCACAGAAAGTTTTCGAAATTACGAATTACGTTGGGATTCTTACGTTGCCATGTTATCTATTCCTGTTGTAACTTAAACATCTTAGTATATTAAATCAAATAATGTAACTCAAATTTAATTTAACAACAGGGTTTTTACCCATGTATTTAGTGGCGCAAAACATGTGCATCCAGATAGCACTGATGATGGAATATTAATTCCGAAAACGTTCTGTGATGTAGCCCGATATGAGTGTTCAATATTTTAATATATACATTTTATAAAGAAATTTTTAAATAAATTTTGTGTGATACATGGAATACAGCTACAGAAATTTAGTTTCCTTGTGAATTGACATTTAATGCTATTCTGTGATTTTCTAATTCAAACGCCTTCTTTAAAAAAAATTCAAACGTTAACGTAGACTTATTTGGGTCACCTACCTTATTTAAGTTATTAAAATACTATATAAAAAGTATATTTTAAACACCAAAAGAAAACTATAAATCCCAGTAACGAAACGTGGATCCATCGATAAAAAGAATTAAGTATTTGAAACGGACTTGGAGCATATTCGTAAAACTTTATATCACTTACAATAATGATTAAAAAAATAAAAGAAAGTGGTATAATACTCTCTAAAATAAACTTGCATCAAAAACATTAGACATTGCAATAATTGATTGACCAAGGGAAGGTTTTATGAAGAAGGGATTTCTAAGAGAAGAATATCTTAACAGAGAAATATGCAAACCTAGTTTACCATCTATACCACTCGTCACTGAAATATTTCTAGCTGTAGCTAATAAAGTTAAGTTGTCCTAAAGATTGCCGACATTCACTAAGATATAAGTATTAAAAAAAGAAATTTAAAAATACATTATTATATAGTTTGCAGCAAAAACAGATATTTTTACAATTAAAAAAATAATAAAATTTTGTAAATAATAATAAAACTTAGATTCCTTATTAGTTTCGAGAAATGTTTATCCTGTGTACACTTTATAAAAAAAAATGCGCAACCTACCCATAAAAGTTATCCAATAGCGCATCCTGAAGTGCATCCTTAGGTAAATCCTACCAACAAAGAATTCGCACCGCATGAATTCACATACAACACACTAACTGAAAGTTATCGTTTGACCCAAATTTGTTCAGTAAAGACAAGGCAAGCCAAAGCCAAAGAAAGTACCTCCCTTCTTTCTTAATTTCTCCCACTACGACGACATCACCTTTTACTTTCGTTCACATTAAACAATTTCACCTATTCTGTTTATGAATTTATCTAAGGCGCCTAAAGCAGACTCGATGTTGTAATTAAAATGTTAAGACCATGTAATTGCATTATTAGTCACCTTTTGATTTTCTTTGCGGCGCGGCGATTTATTTTATTGATCTCGCGATCATAAATGTTACTTTGATTTAATTTTACAACAGGGTATAAAAGGAAAGGCCCATTTGTAAGACAGCTATTTCGTTTATTTTTATTATCTACAAGTTATGAATTAATCTTTTTTAAAACGATCTACAATTTAAATTTGTTTTCTCACTCGGAAATATATTATGCGCTGTTGCCGTGGAATAATATGCATTATTCACTACTTTATAACACTACTATTGTCTACACAGACGTAGCGTGAGAAATTAACGGAGTCAATAAAATCGACTAAAATAAACAATAACCATTTAGCCCGGAGAAATAGGATTTCTCTCGAGATTGTGACAAATCCAGGTATCTGAATTTTTTTGGTTATTATAGGTCTATAGAGTGCGTCAATTTTAAAACTTACAATGGAGGCTATATCTCACGAACAAAAGCTGATATCGAAAGATGCTTGAAACCGTTTCTAGGATATTAAGGGGGAACTAAAATGACATCAAAGACAACTCACCCCCATCAACCACCTAGGCCACACCCACCACAACCAAAAAACCCCTACTTGTGATACATCATTGAAGAGACTATTAAAAATACTATCCAATGGTATAAATAATAGTAATACGGGGTGAAACAATAATTGTGAAACTTAAGCTGAAATGGAAAATTTAATGAGGTATTTGTTGATTCTGCTGATGACCCTGTATAATTATTGGTTAATAATTATAGTTTAAACTTACCACCACCTGACTTTCTTCTATTGTTTAATAATTATCTTCTTCTTCAAGTGCTGTCTTCGTTCCGAAGTTTGGCTATCATCAAAGCTATGCGTATTTTTGATGCTGCAGATCTAAACAGTTGGTAATTGGTGCAATTGTACCATTCTCTCAAGTTTTTCAACCATGAATGCCTTCTTCTTCCTATAGATCTCTTTCCCATTATCTTTCCCTGGATAATCAATTGCAGCAACTGGTATTTATCTCCCCTCATAACATGTCCCAAATATTGTAGTTTGCGCTTTTTAACAGTATCAGCTCTTTCTCTTTCCGCACTCTCCGCAAAACCTCCACATTTGTTACTTTCTCTGTCCAGGGTATTCTTAATATTCTACGATACATCCACAACTCAAATGCTTCTATCTTTTTGGTATCGATCTTTTTCAATGTCCATGTTTCCATCCCGTAGAGGAGAACTGACATAACGTAACATCTCAAAAGGCGAATTTTAAGTTTTAGACTTAGATCTCTTCCGCAGAACACCTTTTTCAATTTAGTAAATGTGGCTCTAGCTTTCTCTATTCTGGTTCTGATTTCTTCAGAGCAATCATTATTTTCGTTGATAACAGTTCTCAGGTAATTATATCTTCTTACACGTTCGATTCTTTGATCATGCACGGTTATGTCAGGGAAGTTTTGTGGTGATTTAGATATTAGCATTATTTTTGTTTTGCTTATGTTAAGTGATAATCCGTGTTCTTCACTGCATTCTACTATTTTGTTAATTAGTATTTGAAGATCTTCCCAAGTATCTGCGATTAGTACCGTGTCATCGGCATATCTCAAGTTGTTTATTCGGATGCCATTTATCTTAATACCTATATTTTGATCCGAAAGTGCTGTGTTTATAATGTCTTCGGAGTATAGATTGAATAAGGTCGGTGAGAGTATACAACCCTGTCTTACGCCTTTCTTGATCTCGAGTTCCTCCGTTGTCTCTTGCTCTATTCGCATATTTGCTTTCTGGTTATAGTAAATCTTAGAGATAATTCTAATGTCCCTTTTATCCAAGTTTTTTTCTACTAGCAGTTTCATTAAGTGATCGTGACGAACTTTATCAAACGCTTTGTTGTAGTCAATAAAGCACATATATATATATATAATATATATATATATATATATATATATATATATATATATATATCTTGGTTTATATCTAGACATCTTTGGCATATGACGTTAAGTGCAAATAGTGCTTCTCTTGTTCCAAGCCCGTTCCGAAATCCGAATTGAGTATTACTAATATCTGCATCTATAAATGTTTTCTGTTAATTCTTGAGTGGATTACTTTGATGAATACTTTTAATGTATGCCCCATTAAGCTTATAGTGCGATAGTCAGTGCACTGTTTTGCATTTGCCTTTTTTGGTAAGGTTACAAAAGTTGAAAGTAGCCATTCCTTTGGTATTTCTCCTCTTTTGTAGATGCAGTTAAAAAGGTCGAGTAGAACATTCACTGATTCGCCTTCCACAAGCTTAAGAAGTTCTGATGTGAGCCCGTCTGGACCCGGTGATTTTCATTATTTTTTATAGCGTATAATAGTTCTTCTTTAGTTATTTCTGGTCCTTCGTCGCCTTACAAGTTATCTATATTTGGTTCTTGTCTTTCATCGTCGAACAATTCTTCTACATCGGCTATTATTTCACCATTTGCGTTGCATAGGAGATTGGGATGTTTTCGTTTTTGTGTACCTGTCAGTTCCTTTATCTTTTTATGTAAGTTAAAAGTGTCATGTTTGAGATGTAGTTCTTCGATTTCCTCGCATTTTCTTGTATACAAATTTTCCTTTGCAGTTCTTATTTCTTTTCTGATTTGTTTGTTTACTTCATTATATTTTTTGGCTGCATTTTCCCTTTAACTGTCTTCGCTCTTCCATGAGACCTAAAATTTTTTCTGTTATCCATTCTCGTCCTTTTTTCTGTTTCTCTTTGGTAAGCATTTTCTGGCAGGTTTTATTATGGCGTCTTTTAAATCTTGCCACTTGTTTTCTACATGCGTGTTCTCTGTCTTTGTAGAAAGCATTCGTAAGTTATCATTGATATGTTGTTTTAAATCTTCTTTAATTGTTGGATCTTGTAAGCGGCTGGTATCTATGTGATCTATTTTTGTTTTATTTGAAGGTCTTTTGAGTCTAATGTGTACCCGCGCTATCAGGGGGTTATGATCTGAAGAAACATCTGCGCCTGGATAAGCCTTAACTGATCTTATACAGTTTCTGTATCGCTCATTTATTAAAATATAATCTGATTCCTAATTGTTTTTTCCCTAGTGTGTTGAGGGGATGTCCATGTGTACAGTCTTCGTTTGGGTAGCTTAAAGAATGTATTTGAAATTATCATATCATTCTCTTGACAGAACTCTAAAAGTTTGTCTCCTCTGTCGTTTCTTGCCCATAAACCATATTCTCCCACATTTTTTCTGCTTTTTCCTTTACCAATTTTGGAGTTGAAGTCTCCAAGGATAAGTGTAACATCTTTTGGCTTTGTAGACTTTAGAACTTGATTTATTTGTTCATAAAACTGCTCAATCTCTTCATCTGATTTATCTGCAGTAGGGGCATATACCTGTATAATATTAAGTTTTGCAGTTTTTGTATGCAGTTGTAGGAGCAGGATCCTGTCTGACACTGGCGAAAAATTAGTGACAGACTGTGTCATTCTTCTTGAAACGACAATTGCTACACCATATCTGTGATGTGGGTATTCATTTCCTGAGAAATAGATTCATACCGTTGCTTGTCGAGACGTTGCCTGCACCCGACCATCTTGTATCGCTGATGCCTAGGATATCGATGTTTAATCTTTGCATCTCCTGTATAACGTTGTGAATTTTTTTTTTAATAATTATACAGGGGTGTTAATATCAGCCAGCTTACTATGTCTTTTGTATTTGTAATGCTCTCTTCCGGACTATTATTTTTAATAAGTGCCCGTCGGATTTTTTTTGTTAAATAAAAACTTAATTTGCCATTTTTGCAAAACAAGTTGAAAACATCTATTTTTTGGGTTCTGTCAGATTCAATAATTTTTGGTTTATTTGAGAATTTTGAATGTCATTAGTTTTCATCATTTGCACGATCGGTACTGTCATTCAGCTGTAGTTGTCACGATGGTTCACAGTATATAATACCTGAACGCGTGGAAATTATTTTCATATTTGCCTCCCAGGACCAGTGTTATTTACGAACAGCTCAAATATTTCATGAAAGGCATCCGTGCAAAAATTTAAGTCACGTGTACGTCCGTGATTTAGTTGAAAAGTTTAGAGAAACGGGATCAATGCAAAATAAAAAAAGGGATGAAGGCCAAAATTACTGGATGAAGCATCTCAAATTGAAGTCCTTGGAAATTTTGCAATAGAGCCTACTACATCAACATGTCAAGTATCTGCAATGACAGGACTTTCACATGAGTCGGTTAGAAAGGTGTTAAAATTACACAAGTTTAACCTGTACAAAATACAAATTCTTCAAGAACTAGGCGATGATGATCCAGACCGACGAATTGAGTTTTGTGAACTCATGACTGAAAGAATTAAACCGAGAATGTTAGAAAATATTTGTTTCACTGATGAATGTACTTTTATGCTGAATGGTAATGTAAATAAACAAAACTGTCGGTACTGGAGTGATGCGAACCCGCATCGATTCAGAGAAGGTCACACTCAATATCCTGAAAAACTGATTGCTTGGACAGGAATATTAGGCGATGCTATAATTGGCCTCTTGTTCATACTAGGCAATTTAAGTGGCGACATTCATCTCGATATGCTGGAAAACACCATCGAACCTTTAATTGTGCATGAATTAGAGAACCAAAGGGACGATCAAGGTAACCTAGCTCTAACTAAGATTTGCTGCACTTCCAACAAGATGGAGCACCTCCTCACTATGCAGCTACAGTTCGGCACTGGTTGGATATTAATTATCCGAACAAAATGGATTGGAAGGAGAGATCCCAACAGGAAGACGATCAGTAATTCCAGTAAGACCACGAAAACGATGGAACCACAACTTACTGGAGGCAAATTGAAGGAGTCGTGTCCT